CTTTTTTGTGTATTTGATGTCAGGGAGACAGAATGTAGAGAATGAAATCTCATTTTTATCTTATATTCTTATACCAGTCTCAAGGTAAAAAAAATCCTCCAGGGATCTTTCCTGGCTAGAAATTGCATTAGAGTTACCTGGAGGGTTTGTTAAAACACCAAGTGCTGTGCTCTACCCTCAGATCGTAGATAGTCCTGGTCTGGGGACCACCCTTCGGAGAGCCACTGCTCAAGGGAATGCATGGATAATTAGAGATTGGTGGATGGATGATAGGATAGGAGGGAGGGCATTTAGGATATACAGTAGGTCTCCCTTGTGTATGGTGTCACTTTCTTTAGTTTCAGTTACCCACAGTCAACTGGCATTGTCATTATTCAGCGATCCTCCTCTTGAGAGATCATATTGTCAGGTCAGAAGTTGTCTAACACAGCTGGCAGAGACAGGCTAAGTGAGAGGTGATATGGGCTATAAACCACAAGGCCTAGCTCACCACACAACACACAGGCATCATTGCAAGGAAAAGGAGGAGTATAGTATAATAAGAGATATTGAGAGAGACCACATTCACTTAAATCATATCACAGGATGAGCTGGACCTGGTGGTACATGACTGTAATTCCAGGTACTCAGAAGGTGGAGACAGAAGGACCAGAGTTCAAGGCCAACCTGGGCAACAGTTATCGAGATCCTATCTCAAAAACAAACTAGGCATTGTGGTGCATGCCTGTTGTTCCAGCTGCTAATAGCATCAAGATTCAAGACTGGCCCCAGATGAAAGTCCAAGACCCTATCTGAAAAACAAAACTAAAAATAAAAAGCATGCAGAGTGTGGCTCCAGTGGTAGAGCGTCTGCCAAGCACACATAAGGCTCTAAGTTCAATCCCCAGTACCACAAAATAAAATTGGCATGGTACATTTGAATTGTTTTTATTAATTATTGATTTCTTGCACATATTCATAAACTTTACCGTGAGTATGAATGTACAGAAAAACTATACAGTGTACACAGGGTTCAGTACTACTCATGGTGTCAGTCATCCAGTGGGGTCTTACGGAACAAATCTCCTGGAGGTAAGGGGGACTACTAATGTCCCCCCTTCAGTTTTGCTAATGCCACTTACTTTTTGTCCTTCTTTCATCATGGTAGAGAAGTTCTAGTTACTCCAAACCCTACCACTCTTGGTGTCATCTCACTTCTTAATTTTTCCAGTGTAGTGAGTATGAAGAGGCATCTCATGATGCTTTAAATTTGCTTCATCCTAATAATTAATGAGGTTGATGATTTTTTAATTATCATTTTGTATGAAATACCCATTTAAATTTGATCATTTTGTTCTTGCTTTCTCAACTTCTGTTAGTTTGTAGAATTTTTTAAAGCATTATCTGGATACCAATGCATTGGATACAAGTGTTGCAAACATCTCCCAGTTAGCTGCTGGTTTATGCATTTTCTTTATGACTTCTTCAGATGAACCAAATCCCATAATGCATATTTTATTATGGCTTTTTTGCATCTCTGTGAGGAAGTGTGTTTTCTACCTCAAAATCATAAAAATAGTCTCCATTATTTACTTTCAAAACTATTTTATAAGTTTACATAAAATTTGTTTTTGCCAGTTGCTTTTTAAAATATATGGTGTGGTGTTGAGAGAATAGGGTCATTGCTGTGACTAAGCCTTAAGAATCACATGGTTCTTAAGACTTTGGAACTTATTTGTGGGAGGAATTTAGAAAAGTTTGAATATGCAGCCTAGAGAAGCCATAGTTTGCTCTAAGCAGAGCCTAATGGGCCATTCTGGTGGTATCTCAAAAGACCAAAAAGCCAATAGAAGTTCAGACAGTAAAGCAAGTGCTCATGAAGTTTCAGATGCTGGAAATTAAAGTAGAGGCCATTCATTAGAATGTGTCTACATTTTGTCCATACCCTAAGACTTTGTGGAAGTCTGGGTTTAAAGGTGAAAAACCAGTTAGTCTGGCAAAGGAAATTTCAAGGCAGCCCAGCATTCAGGCTATGACATGGTTATTTTACCCAGGTGTTCAGTGAAAATTGAGAGCAAAAGGCAGTGCAAAAAGATTTGAAAAACATTGGGTTTGGCCAGAAAAAAGGAGTGTCTTTAAAGTTTCAGACAAGGAGAATGTGGTTGTTAAAAAGATTACAGCCTAAAAGGAACTCATGTGCTTTGCACTAGAACAATAGGAAAGATGCCTAGAGGGCATCTCAGAAATTGGCTGGACCTCACCCATCACAAAGTCAAGAGTGAAAGGTTTGAATTCATTTGAGAGAGATTGCTTTGAGGAGATAGCTGCAGGTAACCAACCCTGCTTGCACAGAGCTACCTAGGGAAGTGCTTCCGCAAAGTCAGCCATGCAGACACTCAGAGGCCACTGCAGCTATGGTCCAAATGGGTCTAAGCTGGTGAAGACTTTGGTGTCATCTATGTGATGCTGGTTTTGGAGGCATGCAGAATGCAAGAGTTTTGGGGTCATAGAGGCTTCCACCCAGATTTCAAAGGAATGCATAAGAGGCCAGGTAGTGTGTGGCAGGGTCAGAATCTTTACAGCTGTGAGGGTGAAGCCTAAGCTGCAGTGGAGACCCCAGGAAGTTAGAGAAGCTAGAAATGTGGAACATCTGCTGAGGAAAGCCACAGACAATGAGCAAATCCAGCCTAAGATAATGGCCATGAGGGCTGCATATTGCAGGGCCTTGGGTGGGGCTGCCCAAGACCTCTGGGGCTCACATCTCACTCCCATGTGCTCTGGGTGCTGGACATGGAGCTAAGATTCAGTGTTTGCCCTGCTGGAGTTTGGTCTTGATTTGGTCCCATTCCTCCCTTTAGGAGTGGGAGTGTAACTCTGTGCCATTATATATTGAAAGAATGCAGCTTGTTTGGGGATTTTATAGTGGCTCATAGCTAGTTTATCATGGTTCTCAGAGGAGTCTTTGAAGTTGGACTTTTGAATGTGTTGGAACTCCAGACTATGAAGACTCTTGGAAATAGACTGAATGCATTTTGCATTATGAGGGAGACATGAATCCTTTGGGGGCCAGGGATGAAGTGTATTTGGATGACAAGGGGAAGACTTGGAGGTGATTAGTCTTCTTGATTACAACTTGATTACATTGAGAAGAACAT